AACTGGATGGACCGGTGTCTTTATCCAACCCTTTCCAACTATGTAACTTAGGAAAAGGAACCTACATGGGCAAAGCGCAGGTGCAACTGGATGGACCGGTGTCTTTATCCAACCCTTTCCAACTATGTAACTTAGGAAAAGGAACCTACATGGGCAAAGCGCAGGTGCAACTGGATGGACCAGTGTCTTTATCCAACCCTTTCCAACTATGTAACTTAATAAAAGGAACCTACATGGGCAAAGCGCAGGTGCAACTGGATGGACCGGTGTCTTTATCCAACCCTTACCAACTATGTAACTTAATAAAAGGAACCTACATGGGCAAAGCGCAGGTGCAACTGGATGGACCGGTGTCTTTATCCAACCCTTACCAACTATGTAACTTAATAAAAGGAACCTACATGGGCAAAGTGCAGGTTCACTTTAAATTGTTTTCTCTCTTTAGTGCTCATAGATCGTCAAAGCAAAACCAGATGATTCCCAGAAATGTAACCAATGTGTTTAGATCTCCGCCATGTGCATTATTCATGTAATATCATCTCTCATGAACACTGTGACTACCAGATCCTATCTCTGGTTTATGGCCTCATTATGTGTGTGTCTGGATTCCTTTATTTGTGATTCTCCAATGATAAGGCATTGTGAAGCTGAATACATTGTTTTATTATGCTGACCTCTCTCTCTCTCCCCGAAATCCCAACCCTTTGTTTCCTTTGTTATCATTGAAAAGTAATATCTCTCCTCCTCCCCCCACCCTGGGCGTTGTCATTGGATATCCCGTCCGGACTTTGTAGAGCCCAGTATTCATTTCATTTTCATGGAACTATTTTCATCATTTGTGTGTTGTGTGACTACTGCAGATCTCAGCTGCTTGTTACATAGTTAGTCCTCATGCACACGGGATGTTTTTATAGCGGCTGTTTATGGCTTTTGATGTTTTTTTCTACAGCCAGTAAACTCCCCAGCGTGTTATTCTCGGTGTCCATACACACACAGAGACTGGAATCAACGTTTTTTGGCTTTTGACATTTTTTTTCTACAGCTAGTAAACCCCCCAGCATGTGTCCATGCACACATAGATTGTAATCAACATTTTTTTGGCTGGAAAAAAACACAGGACTAGTGGGTTTCTAGAGGAGTGTTTTAGCTGAAAAACGTGGTAAAACGCTGCAAACAGGCATTTTTTTGGCCTTTTTTAAAAAACATTTTCTTTAGTAAAGAAAAAACGCAAACGTGGAAAAATGCAGGAAAATGCCCCTAAACGCTAATGGGCATCACAATGGCTAAATGGTTATCACTTCTGCCTAGTCAGCACTTTTGGCTGGACTAACTGGCGTAGGGAGTTCCGGAAGATGGGAAGGGCTCTGGACAGATTGGGGTGGGGAGTCCTGGAGGATGGGAAAGGCTCTGGACAGATTGGGGAAGGGAGTTCCGGAGGATGGGGAAGGGTTCTGGACATATTGGGATAGGGAGTTCTGGAGGATGGGAGAGGCTCTGACAGATTAGGGAAGGGACTTCTGGAGGATGGATGAGGCTCTGGACAGATTAGGGAAGGGACTTCTGGAGGATGGATGAGGCTCTGGACAGATTAGGGAAGGGACTTCTGGAGGATGGGAGAGGCTCTGGACAGATTAGGGAAGGGAGTTCCCAGAGGATGGGAGATGCTCTTGACATATTGGGATAGGGAGTTCTGGAGGATGGGAGAGGCTCTGGGCAGATTAGGGAAGGGACTTCTGGAAGATGGATGAGGCTCTGGACAGATTAGGGAAGGGACTTCTGGAGGATGGGAGATGCTCTGGACAGATTAGGGAAGGGACTTCTGGAGGATGGGAGAGGCTCTGGGCAGATTAGGGAGGGGGCTTCTAGAGGATGGGAGAGGCCCTGGGCAGATTAGGGAAGGGACTTCCGGAGGATGGGAGAGGCTCTGGACAGATTAGGGAAGGGATTCCTGGAGGATGGGAGAGGCTCTGGACAGATTATATTGAAATGATTGTTCTGGCCAATGAAATGAATTGATGCCCAAGCACTTGACAAGCCTAAATGCGTTACACACATTTTCAAGCATCAGTTGTTTTCTTCTGCCAAAACGCCGCTGCCAGGAGGAAGGCATCTAGAAGAGATGGCCAAGCGTCCAGTGTCCATGAGGCCATGTTATCTGAATTTGCGTAAAGTGATTGTAAACCTTCCATATACTCAGTGAAGTGACTGGCTTCAGGTGATACACAAAGATAAAACAAATCCTCCTACATAAATTGTACCCGTTTACCTGCTGCCCTCTCTTCTCTACATCCATTCAAAATGCAGAATTTATATAGCTTTCAGAAAGCAGGGGGTGGGGAGCTGTGGTCACACTCTGCAGAGCTCAGTGAGAGCTGATTGGAAATAAAGGACACACTCCCCCCTTCACACAGCACACAGGACCAGAGCTGAGGCTGTCAATCACAGGTTGTGTGCTGAAGCTCCCTGCCCTGTCACCTTTGTATCTCTTGGTGTCAAGAAAACCCACCAGAAGCAGCTCATGCTGATAGCAGAGGAAGGAGGCAGCAGATAGAACTGACACGCTCTGGACTGAGACAAGTGCACACTATGGAGGGCTAGGCTTTGTTCAGATTTCATGTCTGAGGTTTACAACAAACAGAAAGTATGAAACATTGCCGGGCATCTCCACCACTGAGCCCCAATCGTCTCTTGAGTGTGAGCTTTATTGTTGGGTTAGATGTTTGAGTCCAATGTAAGTTCAATCTGGTGGTCTGGTATTGATTTTGGGGGGACCCCACACCATTTTTGTTTAAGTTTTGGCATGCGGGTTCCCCTCAAAATCCATACCAGACCCGAAGGGATTGGTATGGATGGGGGGGGACCCCATGTGGATTTGCCGGCAATTCTTTTTACATTCAGCTGTCAGCGGGGAACCTGAAAGAATGTTTTTAGTAGCAGTGTGATATCTTACCGCGTACTCAGATGTGGTAAGATACCGCTTAGTGAATTGTCCCCTCTGGTCAAACTTTGGTCATGTTCGAATGCTCGACCGCCAACCAAACAGCAGGGGTGTTTGGCCCATCACTAGTGAGCATAGTCTGGTGATTTGTGAGGCAGTTTTCCCATGACTTGTAGGGCCGGAGCAGAATTGCGTATTTTTGGCCCCATAGACTTCTAAATGGCGGGCGCCTGAAGATATGGATAAGATGTGCATTTTTCAGGGTCTCCCATTAAAGTCTGTGGGTCCAAAATTCTGCCCAAAAGATCCTCATGGACTTTTCTGAACTTCACATGACAGGTGACAACCCAACACTCAGGTGCGAACGGGCCCATTGATGGCGTTACTAACCTACTAAGTGACATATTGGCATGGATGTCGCTTCACTTCCTCAAACTCAATCTTTCCAAAACTGAGCTCTTAGTATTCCCCCCATCCCGTGCCCCCCTCCCCCAACTTCTCCATCAAGTTCAATAATACAGCCATCAGTCCCTCCCCTCATGCCAGGGTACTAGGTGTAATCCTGGACTCCCATCTGTCCTTTCAGCCCCAAATCCAATCACTGTCCAAATCTTGTAGACTTCATCTCCGCAACATCTCCAACCTCCGCAACATCTCCAACCTCCGCAACATCTGCAACCTCCGCAACATCTGCAACCTCCGCAACATCTGCAACCTCCGCAACATCTCCAACCTCCGCAACATCTCCAACCTCCGCAACATCTCCAACCTCCGCAACATCTCCAAGATACGCCCGTTCCTAACCTCGGAAACCACTAAGCAACTTATTCACTCCCTTGTTATATACCTTACCTTGACTATTGTAACCCCCTCCTCATTGGCCGACCTCATCGCAGGCTATCCCCTCTTCAGTCTATCATGAATGCTGCTGCCAGACTCATCCACCTTACTAACCATTCTGTATCTGCCACCCCTCTCTGCCAATCCCTCCACTGGCCTCCACTCAGTGTCCTCCATCCCTCTCTGCCAATCCCTCCACTGGCCTCCACTCGGTGTCCTCCACCCCTCTCTGCCAATCCCTCCACTGGCCTCCACTCAGTGTCCTCCACCCCTCTCTGCCAATCCCTCCACTGGCCTCCACTCAGTGTCCTCCACCCCTCTCTGCCAATCCCTCCACTGACCTCCACTCAGTGTCCTCCACCCCTCTCTGCCAATCCCTCCACTGGCCTCCACTCAGTGTCCTCCACCCCTCTCTGCCAATCCCTCCACTGACCTCCACTCAGTGTCCTCCACCCCTCTCTGCCAATCCCTCCACTGGCTTCCCATTGCCCAATGGATAAAATTCAAAACATTAACAATAACGTATAAAGCCATTTATAACTCCGCCCTAAATTACATCACCTCTCTTGTCTCCAAATATCACCCAAACTGTCCTCTCCGCTCCTTGCAAGACCTCCTGCTCTCTAGCTTCCTTGTCTCCTCCTCCCACGCTTGTCTCCAGGACTTTTTCAGAGCTTCCCCCATCCTCTGGAACTCTCTACCCCAATTTATCAGACTATCGCCTACTCTGCTCACTTTTAGATGATCTCTGAAAACCGATCTCTTCAAGGAAGCCTATCCTGTCCTCAGCTAATAATGGAATCTTCTACTCTTCCAACCAGTCCATCCCCGCAGTTACGACCTTTTCTACCACCAGCCCCTCCCTCCTAGATTGTAAGCTCCCAGGATCAGGGCCCTCCTATCCCTCTTGTATTGAACTGTATTGTTGCTGTATTGTCTCCAGTTATATTGTAAAGCGCTGAGCAAACTGTTGGCGCCATAAATCCTGTATAATAATAATAATTCTTCCTCTCGAGCGTGGTCACCCTTCGGCGATGAGTCAGGTGTGAATGGGGGGCTGACGGAAGACGTAATGGATGGGCCTGGAGGGCTTCTATATCTTCTGGAAGCTGAGCTCCGGACCTCGTTACCCTCACACTGATATTCTGCAACATTGTTTCTCATGTAATAAAGGTATGTTGTGGGAATGTTACTAATTGTGCCAATTTCTTGGATTTTACAGAGACCTGAGCAACAACAAGATCAGCTCCCTCAGCAATTCGTCATTTACCAACATGAGTCAACTCACCACATTGTAAGTTCACGTCTGGAGACACGGATGACATGTTCATTACCTATCAGGTCTTCTAAAAGTCAGGTCATACGAGGTGGGATCAAAGAGTTTCGAGACTAGTTTTGTAACACACCAACAGATGACAGCGCAACGCTGCACACAGTCACAGGGAGCACTAATCTTCATAAGTCAGTGTGCCAATAGACATCGTCCTGTGTACATCGGGACCTGTGCAACTGGTGCAGTTCTGACCACCTGTGTTACCAAGTCTGCTATGTCATCATGGACAGCAAGTTAGAGCAAAGGTGAAATTCTGCATGAAACGGGCAAATCTGCCACCGAGATGTTTGACATGACCCGGCAAGTTTACGGCGATGCTGCAATGAGCCTTTCGAGGCATTTTGATTGGCATGCCAGCTTCAAGAGCTGAAGAACATCACTGGAAGACGACAAGAGATCAGGAAGACCTTCAACGTGCTCAACCCCCCAAAAAGCCCTCTTCCCGAAGATGAAGATCCAGCTCAAAGGTCACCGTGTTGACAATACTGCAAAGATCCAGCGATTTGCCCGGTTTCACACAGAATTTCACCTCTGTTCTAACTTGCTGTTCCTGATGCCAACATGATAACACACATGAATAGCACCAGTTGCACAGCTCCCAACGTACACAGGACGATGTACTTATGAAGGTCGGTGCTCCCTGTGATGGTGCATGCAGCCTTGTGCTGCCATCTGTTGGCATGTTACAAAACTAGTCTTGAAGTATCTTTTGATGCCACCTCATATATACAGCACAGTATATCAGTCTGGCCATATACAGTATATATATTTAACTTTGTGAGTCCAAGGAGGAGTCTTGGTCAGTCTTAGTATCGCTGTGTCTGGGATAGTCCTGAGCAGTCTGGGGCTCCGAATTCCTTGAGGAACTAGAAATTGTTGGATAAAGGAAGAAGATACCATGGTATCATGCCCACATCCCACCAATATATAGAACACAAAGCATTTTGTAACAAAGGGACTGTAGGAGGTCATACAGGTAGTCAGCAAAGCCAACAAAAGAGAAAATACACCAGAAAAAAAGCCTAATTTATTGTACAAAGGACATAGTAGTGACCATATCCAGGGCTGGGACTAGGGATGGGGAGGAGGGGCGGATGCCCTGGGCACTGTGGTATCATGTGAGGTGGGGGGAGCACCATGAGATGATTGGGGGGTGGGATTTGTGTCAGAAGGGGGAATTTGAGGGGCAGCAGGGGGTAAGAATTGTTTTAAGAGGGTAAATTTGGAGACTGGTGATTTGTAGTGATTTGTGTTAGGAGGGGGGATAGTGGAAGAGGATTTGTGCTAGGAGGGGGGAATTGGGGGAGGGGAATTTGTACTGGGAAGGGGAATGTGAGGGGTATTGGGGTAAGAATTGTTCTAGCAGGGTAAATTTTAGGAATGGTGATTTGGAGTGAATTGTGTTGGGGGGGGGGATTTGTGCTAGGAGGGGGAATTTGTGGGGTTTGTGATAGAAAAGGTAATATGGTGGGGAGGGATAAGGGGATTTGTGCTAGGAGGGAAAACATTTTGGGGGGAGGATTTGTGCTAGGGTGGGGAATTGGAGGAGGGGAATTTGTGCTGGGAAGGGGAATTTGAGGGGCAGCAGGGGGTACGAATTGTTCTAGGAGGGGACATTTTGAGAATGGTGATTTGGAGTGAGTTGTGTTGGGGGGGGGGGGAGGACTTGTGCTAGGAGGGGGGATTTGTGGGGTTTGTGCTAGAAAAGGTAATATGGTAGGGAGGGAGGGGGGTTTTTGTGCTAGGGAGGGAAACATTTTGTGGGGGAGGATTTGTGCTAGGATGGGGAATTGGGGGGGGAGGGGAGTTTGTGCTGGGAAGGGGAATTTGAGGGGCAGCAGGGGGTAAGAATTGTTCTAAGAGGGGACATTTGGAGAATGGTGGTTTGGGGTGATTTGTGTTGGGGAGGGGGGATAGGGGAAGAGGATTTGTGCTAGGAGGGGGGATTTTTGGAGCTTGTGATAGAAAAGATAATATAGTGGGGAGGGAGGGGGGATTTGTGCTAGGAAGGGACACTTTTTTGGGGGGAGGATTTGTGCTAGGGTGGGAAATTGGGGGAGGGGTGATTTGGGGTGATTTGTGTTGGGAGGGGGGATAGGGGAAGAGGATTTGTGCAAGGAGGGGATTTTTGGGGTTTGTGATAGAAAAGGCGATATGCTGGGGAGGGAGGGGGGAATTGTGCTAAGGTTTGGAAACTTTTTTGGGGGGAGGATTTGTGCTAGGATGGAGAATATGAGGGGCAGCAGAGGGTAAGAGTTGTTCTAGGAGGGAAAATTCGGGGAGTGGCGATTTGGGGTGATTTGTGTTGGGGGGGGATAGGGGAAGAGGCTTTGTGCTAGGAGGGGGATTTTTGGGGTTTCTGATAGAAAAGGTAATCTGGTGGGGGGGGGGGGAAATTTGTGCTAGAATGGGGAATTGAGAGAGGGGATTTGGAGTGGGGGGGGGGGGGATTTGTGCTCGGAGGGGAAATTTGAGGGGCAGAGGATTTGTGCTAGGAGGGTAAATTGTTTTGGGGGGGATTTATGGATGGGGGCATATGTCGAGAGAGGGTTTGAGTAAAGATTTGTGCTGGGAGGGGGGTTTCAGCAGGGGGAACATGTGTACTGGGAGGAGGGGGAATTTATGCTCAGGGGTAAGCATGCAGATTAGTGCTCGATTTTTGTTTTTGGGTGGAAGAGGATTTTTGCTGACAAATAATTCTCATACATCCTGGGGGGGGGGGGCAATTTGGCATGTTCACCCTGGCCCTGAAACGTGTTGAGCTTCATATGAAGGCCTTCTTTGTGAAGACAGGAATGTTCTCTGTAGTACAGATGGGGATTATACCCGGGTATATTACATGGATGTGGTCGACATTATGTCCCCCCCCATCAAATACTTACCTGAACCCGATCCCAATCCAGCGCCGCGCCCTGAGAGCAGAAGCACAACTCTCTCTCTTTCCTCAGTGGACATGGAGGAAGCAGTGGGAGCCATTGGTTATTGCCGCTGTCAGTCAAAGCCTGTGAACATGGGGCTGAGCCGCATTGTGTGCTTCTATGGACTCACACAGCCGAGCTTAGGATTAAATCCACACGTGTGGCTTCCTATGGTGGAGCATGGAGAAGAGGAGGAGCAGAGAGCACTTGTGGGGGAGACTGGGGAGATTATGATCATAGAAAATGTATAGAAAAAATACTGCAATATGACCACTAGTTGTGCTGATGGTCATAGGAAATGTATAGGAAAAACACTGCATTATGGCCACTAGATGGAGCTGATGATTGTAATAAATGTACAGGAAAAGTACTGGATTATGGCCACTAGATGGTGCTGATGGTCATAGGAAATGTATAGGAAAAATACTGAATTATGGCTGCTATTTGGAGCTGATGGCCATAGAAAATGTATAATAAATTGGGTATGGTCGCCAGATCCAGGTGGTGGCCATATCGAATCAGAAAAATACTGCAATATGGACACTAGATGGAGCTGCTGATCATAGGAAATGTATACTTATCTTGTACATTCACCAGCTCCAGCTAGTGGCAATATTGAATAAGGACAATACTGTTATGGCCACTAGATGGAACTGATGGTCATAGGAACTGTATAGGAAAAATACGGCATTATGGCCAGTAGATAAAGCTAATGATTGTAATAAATGTGTGGAAAAAATACTGCACTATGGCCATTAGATGGAGCTAATGATCATAGGAAATGTATAGGAAAAAACACTGCATTATTGGCCACAAGATGGCGCTGATGGTCATAGGAAATGTATACTTATCTTGTGCTGTCACCAGCTCCAACTAGTGGCAATATTGAATAAGAACAATACTGCATTATGGCCACTAGAGGGAGCTGATGATCATAGGAAAAGTATAGGAAAAATATTGCATTACGACCACTAGATGGAGCTGATGATCAAAGGGAATGTATAGGAAAATACTGCATTATGGCTGCTAGATAGAGCTAATGATTGTAATAAATGTATGGGAAAAATACTGAATTATGGCCACTTGATGGAGCTGATGATCATAGGAAATGTATAGAAAAAATACTGTATTATGGCCACTAGATGGAGCTAATGATCATAGGAAATGTATAGGAACAGTGCTGCATTATGGCCACTAGATGGAGCTAATGATCATAGGAAATGTATAGGAACATTACTGCATTATGGCTACGAGATGGAGCTGATGATCATAGGGAAGGTATAGTAAAAAATACTGCATTATGGCCACTAGATGGAGCTGATGATCATAGGGACTGTATAGTAAAAAATATTGAATTATAGCCACTAGATGGAGCTGATGATCATAGGAAATGTATAAGAAAAATAATGCATTATGGCCACTAGATGGAGCTGATGATCATTGGAAAGGTATAGGAACATTACTGCATTATGGCCACTAGATGGAGTTGTTGATCATAGGAAATGTATAGGAACATTACTGCATTATGGCCACTAGATGGAGTTGATGATCATAGGAAATGTATAAGAAAAATACTATATTTATGGCCGCTAGATGGAGCTGATGATCATAGGAAATGTATAGGAAAAATCCTGAATTATGGCCACTAGATGGAGCTGATGATCATAGGAAATGTATAAGAAAAATACTATATTATGGCCACTAGATGGAGCTGATGATCATAGGGACTGTATAAGAAAATACTGCATTATGGCCACTAGATGGAGCTGATGATCATAGGAAATGTATAGGAACATTACTGCATTATGACCACTAGATGGCGCTGATGATCATAGGGACTGTATAGTAAAAATACTGAATTATGGCCACTAGATGGAGCTGATGATCATAGGAAATGTATAAGAAAAATACCACATTACGGCCACTAGATGGAGCTGATGGTCATAGGAAATGTATAGGAACATTACTGCATTACCGCCACTAGATGGAGCTGATGATCATAGGAAATGTATAAGAAAAATACTGTATTATGGCCACTAGATGGAGATGATGATCATAGGAAATGCTATACTTATCTGGTCGTCAGCTCCAACTAGTGGCCATATTGGGGTATTTTCCCAAACCATTCTAATTTTAATGAATGAAAAACATTCAACCGGATTAAACATGATCTATTAATTTTCGATGTTGTTCCCCCTCCCGTAGGGAATGAATGTACGCGCACAGCTCAGCATTTGTTTTCTTTATATAAATGAGTTTGTATTGTACATTTCTGGACGAATGAGATGATGTTGTTTGGCCGAGCCATGCAGGAGAAGTCAGTGTGCTACTGAAAGTTATTATCTTCTTCCTTTTATCCCACCAGGATTCTGAGTTACAATTCTCTGCGCTGTATTCCTCCTCTGGCTTTTGAGGGACTGCGATCCCTGAGGCTTCTGTGAGTATGACTTTGTGTCTGTTGCGTTGGGTGTCCCTCCTGAGCCCGTGTTGGGCACGTCCGCCCCGTGCCATCAATGAAATGCTAATACCGATTATCTGCTCCAGGTCCGTCCACGGGAACGACATCTCCAGCCTGCCAGAAGGAATCTTTTCTGATGTCACCTCCCTCTCTCACCTGTAAGTATATCTGAAAGGAATGGAGCGTCTTATTATCTTCTATCATCAGAAATCTTCTATAACGAGGACCGGGGGCATGTGCAGATGGAATTTAGTCTCGTTTTCTGTAGACATATTTCTCCACATCACATAATGATCCCTGATCCCGGCACGTTCAGATCCCAAGCTTTATATATATAAAATACGATTGCAGAATCGCTCATGTTATACGATGCTGGCAAAGTGAATTGCTGTACAGTGAGGTGAGGGTATGAGTTGGATTCTATGTGTGGTGCCCACCAACTATTGGGTTGGATGGCGGTGGGGCTACTTGCTTGTCCAGAAAATGATTTGATCATTTATGAAGTTACTTGCAGATGCTACAAAGGACCTTATTATTGCAAAAATTCCCCATTGTATAAGATGCTGCCAAAGTGAATTGCTGTACGGTGAGGTGAGGGTTTAAGCTGGATTCTATGTGTCGTGTCCATCAACTGTTTGGTTGGATGGTGGTGGGGCTACTTGCTTGTCCAGAAAATGATTTGAGCATTTATGAAGTTACTTGCAGATGCTACAAAAGGACCTTATTATTGCAAAATTCCCCATTGTATAAGATGCTAACAAAGTGAATTGCTGTACGGTGAGGTGAGGGTATGAGTTGGATTCTACCTGTGGTGTTCACCGATTATTGGGTTGAACGGTGGTGGGGCTACTTGCTTGTCCAGAAAATGATTTGAGCATTTATAAAGTTACTTGCAGATGCTACAAAGAACCTTATGGTTGAAAAATTCCCCATTGTATAAGATTCTGGCAAAGTGAATTGCTGTATGGTGAGGAGAGGGTTTAAGTTGGATTCTATGTGTCGTGTCCACCAACTATTGGGTTGGATGGCGGTGGGGCTACTTACTTGTCCAGAAAATGATTTGAGCATTTATGAAGTTACTTGCAGATGCTACAGAGGACCTTTATGGTTGCAAAATTCCTCATTGTATAAGAGGCTAGCAAAGTGTCTGGTGAGGAGAGGGTTTAAGTTGGATTCTATGAGTGGTGTCCATCAACTGTTGGGTTGGACGGCGGTGGGGCTACTTGCTTGTCCAGAAAATGATTTGAGCATTTATGAAGTTACTTGCAGATGCTACAAAGGACCCTTATGGTTGCAAAATTCCCCATTGTATAAGATGCTGGTAAAGTGAATTGTTGTATGGCGAGGAGAGGGTTTAAGTTGGATTCTATGTGTGGTGTCCACCAACTGTTGGGTTGGACGGTGGTGGGGCTACTTGCTTGTCCAGAAAATGATTTGAGGAGTTATAAACCAGTAGAAGAGGGCACGAACCTTACTGTGCAGAATCGCCCATGTTATAAGATGAATTACTGTAGGGTGAGGTGAGGGTACGAGTTTGATTCTATGTGTGTTGTCCAGCAATTGTTGGGTTGGGTGGCGGTGGGGCTACAGTACTTGCTTGTATGGAAAATGATTTGAGGATTTATGAAGGTATTTGTAGATGCCACCAGGAGATTTTTTTTCCTCAGAGTAACGTTAGAGAGAAGAAAGAAAGGAAAGTGTGAACTAGTAGAAAAGGACAAGACTGAGGAGGAAGAGGAGAGACAAGGGGTAAGGAAGAGAGGGTTGGGGGTGATGGGATATAAGGGCCTAGTCACCAGCATGGTATGCATGAGCCTCATGGCTGCAGAATCGCCCATGTTATAGGATGAACTGCTGTAGAGTGAGATGAGGGTATGAGTTTGATTCCATGTGTGGTATCCTTTAATTATTGGGTTGGACAGTGATGGGGCTTGTACAGCTTGCTTGTCCAGAAAATAATTTGCAGATGCCACCAGGAGAAAGTGCGAAGCAGTAGAAGAGGGCAATAGTATGCATGAGCCTCATGGCTGCAGATTTGCCCATGTTATAGGATGAAGTGCTATAGAGTGAGATGAGGGTATGAGTTTGATTCCATGTGTGGTGTCCACCAATTATGATGGGGCTTGTACAGCTCGCTTGTCCAGAAAATAATTTGCAGACGCCTCCAGGAAGATTTCACCTTGGGAGTAACATTTCTGTAGTTGAACCACTTTTTACTGATTTCTGCCAAGTCCTTCAACAGTTTGTAGAACATCAGAGAGTGTTTTAAGGTGTATTGCCCACATCACACGGCGTCTACGGCTGTTTTAGGATCATACGGGATTAAGGATCCATTTGTTTCTGTTAATTGTGGAGATTGGAAGAGGGCAACGGTATGCATGAGCCTCATGGCTGCAGAATCGCCCATGTTATAGGATGAAGTGCTGTAGAGTGAGATGAGGGTATGAGTTTGATTCCATGTGTGGTATCCTTTAATTATTGGGTTGGACAGTAATGGGGCTTGTACAGCTTGCTTGTCCAGAAAATAATTAGCAGATGCCACCAGGAGAAAGTGCGAACCAGTAGAAGAGGGCAGTGGTATGCATGAGCCTCATGGCTGCAGAATTGCCCATGTTATAGGATGAAGTGCTGTAGAGTGAGATGAGGGTATGAGTTTGATTCCATGTGTGGTGTCCACCAATTGTTGGGTTGGACAGTAATAGGGCTTGTACAGCTCGCTTGTCCAGCAAATAATTTGCAGACGCCACAGGAAGATTTCACCTTGGGAGTAACATTTTTGTAGTTGAACCACTTTTTTACTGGTTTCAGCCAAGTCCTTCAACAGTTTGTGGAACATCAGAGAGCGTTTAAGGTGTATCGTCCACATCACACGGCGTCTACGGCTGTTTTAGGATCATACGGGATTAAGGATCCATTTGTTTCTGTTAAATTGGTGGAGATTGGAAGAGGGCAACGGTATGCACGAGCCTCATGGCTGCAGAATCGCCCATGTTATAGGATGAAGTGCTGTAGAGTGAGATGAGGGTATGAGTTTGATTCCATGTGTGGTATCCTTTAATTATTGGGTTGGACAGTAATGGGGCTTGTACAGCTTGCTTGTCCAGAAAATAATTTGCAGATGCCACCAGGAGAAAGTGCCAACCAGTAGAAGAGGGCAATGGTATGCATGAGCCTCATGGCTGCAGAATTGCCCATGTTATAGGATGAAGTGCTGTAGAGTGAGATGAGGGTATGAGTTTGATTCCATGTGTGGTGTCCACCAATTATTGGGTTGGACAGTAATAGGGCTTGTACAGCTCGCTTGTCCAGAAAAATAATTTGCAGACGCCACCAGAAGATTTCACCTTGGAAGTAACATTTTTTGTAAACCACTTTTTTACTGGTTTTCAGCCAAGTCCTTCAACAGTTTGTAGAACATCAGAGAGCGTTTAAGGTGTATTGCCCACATCAAAAAAAATATCAAAGTGTTAACGGCGTCTACGGCTGTTTTAGGATCATACGGGATTAAGAATCCATTTGTTTCTGTTAATGGTGGAGATTGGAAGAGGGCAACGGTATGCATGATCCTCATGGCTGCAGAACTGCCCATGTTATAGGATGAAGTGCTGTAGAGTGAGATGAGGGTATGAGTTTGATTCCATGTGTGGTGTCCACCAATTATTGGGTTGGACAGCGATGGTTCTTGTACAGCTCGCTTGTCCAGCAAATAATTTGCAGACGCCACAGGAAGATTTCACCTTGGGAGTAACGTTTCTGTAATTGAACCACTTTTACTGGTTTCAGCCAAGTCCTTCAACAGTTTGTAGAACATCAGAGAGTGTTTAAGGTGTATCGCCCACATCACACGGCGTCTACGGCTGTTTTAGGATCATACGGGATTAAGGATCCATTTGTTTCTGTTATTAATTGTGAAGATTGGAAGTGAATGGCGCCCTTTCACCTCCACCTGTTCTGTTTCCCTTCTCCGCTGCCTTTGTAGTTTTGTATTCATTGAGAATGTTTTGTGCTTTGGCTCAAGGGAGCGCAGCCAAACGGGTTCTGTCTTTTTTTTACTCGATCTTTGTTTAATTTGGCGCACGAAAGTAGCTGCTTTCATGCTTAACAAAGACGATTCATCCAACGCCGCAGAGTATCTCCAGGAATTCTTTTCTTTACAGTGTGATTTATGACGGCTGAGCATACTGTGCCTCACAGCTGTTAAACAAAAGGGGAAAAATAGCAGCCAGGAAGCTTTTAGGTGTTTGCAAATGTTAACACTGCCCTGAGCTATTCATTTATTTCCACTTGGCTGTTCCAGAGCGCCGCCTGCTGGAGCACTTCTGGTCACCATTTTACCCGTCACGGATTGATAGATTGCAATGAGTTTATGTATCCAACGTGATTTATTACTATCAGGCATTATATGTCCTGCGTTGTACAATAAAACCATCAGGCATTATAGTATCGTCTACAATTGTACAATAAATAACCAATATGTGAAAATAAAATCTAATGCTTAATATAATATAACCACAAATATAATATAACCACAAATAATATAGCGCTCACAAAATAAAATATAACGTACTACTGGTAAAATATAATATAATCCTAAATATAATGCTTAATATATAAAATAACCACAAATAATAGCGCTCACAAAATAAATAAACGTACTAATAAAAATATAATATAATATATATAAATATATAATGCTTAATATAAAATAATCACAAATAATAGCGCTCACAAAATAAAAATAACGTACTAAAAATATAATTAATATAATAATAATTGAAAATGCTTAATATTACAAATAATAGCACTCACAAAATAAAATAACGTACTAATAAAAAATAGTATATAATATGATATTATATATATAATATAATGCTTAATATAATATAAACCACAAATAATAACGCTCACAAAATAAAATAACGTACTAAAAAATATTATATAATATAATATAATGCTTAATATAACCACAAATAATATAGCGCTCACAAAATAAAAATAACGTACTAATATAAAATATAATATAATATAATGCTTAATATAACCACAAATAAATAGCGCTCACAAAATAAAATAACGTACTAATAAAATATAATATAATATAATGCTTAATATATATAACCACAAATAATAGCGCTCACTCAAAATAAAATAATAACGTACTAATAAAATATAATATAATATAATTTAATGCTTAATATATAAAATAACCACAAATAATAGCGCTCACACAAAATAAAAATAACGTACTAATAAAAATTTATATAATATAATATAATACTTAATATCAAATAATAGCGCTCACAAAATAAATAAACGTACTAATAAATAATTTATATAATAATAATGCTTAATATAATTATATAACCACAAATAATAGCGCTCACAAAATAAAATAACGTACTAATAAAAATATAATATAATATAAAATGCTTAATGCTTAATAAACTAACACATAATAGCGCTCACAAAATAAAATAACGTACTAATAAATATAATATGTATTTATAATGCTTATAAATAACCACAAATAATAGCGCTCACAAAAATAAAATAATAACGTACTAATAAAATATAATATACATATAATATAATGCTTAATATAAAATAACCAAATAATAGCGCTCACAAAATAAATAACGTACTAATAAAATATTATATAATATAATATAATGCTTAATATAACCACAAATAATAGCGCTCACAACAAATAATAAAATAACGTACTAATAAAATATAATATAATATAATGCTTAATATAACCACAAATAATAGCGCTCACAAAAAAAAAATAACGTATAATAAAATATAATATATATATAATGCTTAATATATATATAACCACAAATAATAGCGCTCACAAAATAAAATAATAACGTACTAATAAAACCAATATAATATAATATATTAATAATGCTTAATATACAATAATAACCACAAAATAATAGCGCTCACAAAATAAAATAACGTACTAATAAAATATTATATAATATAATATAATACTTAATATAACCACAAATAATAGCGCTCACAAAATAAAAAAATAACGTTAATAAAAATATATAAATATAATATAATGCTTAATATAAAATAACCACAAATAATAGCGCTCACAAAATAAAATAACGTACTAACTAAAAAATATAAATATAATATAATATAATGCTTAATATAACCACAAATAATAGCGCTCACAAAATAAAATAACGTACTAATAAAATATTATATAATATAATGCTTAATATAAAATAACCACAAATAATAGCGCTCACAAAAAAAAATAACGTACTAATAAATAAAATAAATATAATATATATAATGCTTAATATAAAATAACCACAAATAATAGCGCTCACAAAATAAAATAACGTACTAATAAAATATAATATAAATATAATATAATGCTTAATATAACCACAAATAATAGCACTCACAAAATAAAATAACGTACTAATAAAAATAATTATATATTATAATATAATATAATGCTTAATATAATATAACCACAAATAATAACGCTCACAAAATAAAATAACGTACTAATAAAAATAATATAATATAATATAATGCTTAATATAAAAATAACCACAAATAATAGCGCTCACAAAATAAAATAACGTACTAATAAAAATATAATATAATAATTATAATGCTTAAATATAAAATAACCACAAATAATAGCGCTCACAAAATAAAATAACGTACTAATAAAAATAATATAATATAATATAATGCTTAATATAATATAACCACAAATAATAGCGCTCTCACAAAATAAAATAATAACGTACTAATAAAATATAATATAATATAATATAATGCTTAATATAAAATAACCACAAATAATAGCGCTCACAAAATAAAATAACGTACTAATAAAATATTATATAATATAATATAATACTTAATATAACCACAAATAATAGCGCTCACTCAAAAATAAAATAACGTACTAATAAAATATTATATAATATAATATAATGCTTAATATAAACCACAAAATAATAGCGCTCACAAAATAAAATAACGTACTAATAAAATATAATATAATATAATATAATGCTTAATATAACCACAAATAATAGCGCTCACAAAATAAAATAACGTACTAATAAAATATAATATAATATAATGCTTAATATAATATAACCACAAATAATAGCGCTCACAAAATAAAATAATAACGTACTAATAAAATATAATATAAAATATAATATAATAATGCTTAATATAAAATAACCACAAATAATAGCGCTCACAAAAATAAAATAACGTACTAATAAAATATTATTTAATATAATATAATATAATACTTAATATAACCACAAATAATAGCGCTCACAAAATAAAATAACGTACTAATAAAATATTATATAATATAATGCTTAATATAATATAACCACAAATAATAGCGCTCACAAAAATAAAATAACGTACTAATAAAATATAATATAATATAATATAATGCTTAATATAACCACAAATAATAGCGCTCACAAAATAAAAAATAACGTACTAATAAAATATTATATAATATAATATAATATAATGCTTAATATAACCACAAATAATAGCGCTCACAAAATAAAATAACGTACTAATAAAATATTAAAATATAAATATGATATAAATAATATAATGCTATGCTTAATATAAAATAACCACAAATAATAGCGCTCACAAAATAAAATAATAACGTACTAATAAAATATAATATAATATAATGCTTAATATAAAATAATCACAAATAATAGCGCTCACAAAATATAAAAAAATAACGTACTAATAAAATATATATAATATAATATAATGCTTAATATAACCACAAATAATAGCGCTCACAAAATAAAATAACGTACTAATAAAATATTTATATAAATATAATGCTTAATATAATATAACCACAAATAATAGCACTCACAAAATAAAATAATAACGTACTAATAAAATATAATATAAAATAATGCTTAATATAAAATAACCACAAATAATAGCACTCACAAAATAAAATAACGAACTAATAAAATATAATATAATGCTTAATATAATATAACCACAAATAATAGTGGTCACAAAATAAAATAATAACGTACTAATAAAATATAATATAATGCTTATTATAACCACAAATAATAGCGCTCACAAAATAAAATAATAATGTACTAATAAAATATTATATTAATACCACCACCAAAATACATGTGTGAAAAAAAAAAATAAGTTAGTTAGTTAAATAAATAAATAATCATTGGATCCTCATGAAAAAAAGTGCAGGCCCACTATGAGTTAAGTCCAGTTAGGTGCCTGTCACCTCTGGGACTTATCTTTATTACTTATATGTTGACAGGTTTATTGCACTCCCATCTGTGAGAGGAGGAGAGACGCACACAGAGCAGCTATGCCTGCCCCTCCCCTCAGCTGCCTGCCCCTCCCCTCTGCTGCCCATTCACAGAAGCCTTTGTATTTTGTGAATGAGTTCACGTAATACAAAAGCTTCTGTGAATGGGCAGAAGGAGCGGAGGGGCGGGCACAGCATTTCCAGCGACTCTGCACTTGAAGGAACTGAGACCACATATACACAGAGTATAACTGGATATAACATTTATAAATCTGATCCAGGGAATATCTGATTGCCTCTCGGGGGATCAGGAAGGAATGGTTTTCCCCTGCAGGAGCAAATTGGATCGTGCTTTGCTGGGGTTTTTTTTGCCTTCCTCTGGATCAACTGTGGGTGTAGGATTATAAGCTTTTTTTTTTTTTTAATGGTTGAACTGGATGAACTTTTGTCTTTTTTCAGCCAGACTAACTATGTAAGCACAGTGAGCAGCCTCGAAGTTATCTTCCTGGAGCACAATAAACCTGTAAGATGTGAATAACAGAGACAAGTCTAGGGGGCGGCAGGCACCTGGTTAGACTTACTTGGTGTGCCTGCAAGTTTTTACAAAGTAGCTGAAATTCCTGGAATTCAGCTTTAAATATAACCTTCCATTCACGCAGCATATGGTTTTGGTGGATCATTCCAAAAGCTGAGAGTCCTTCACAGATCTGTAACCCGTTGAACGGCTCGCTCTAACCAGTATTGTTTGGGGGATTTCTCTTTTGTTAGAGCGATCGGCGCCAACCCTCTGTACTGCGACTGCAACCTGCGCTGGCTGTCAAATTGGGTGAAGACCGGTTACAAGGAGCCTGGCATTGCCCGCTGTACGGGGCCCCCGGAGATGGACGGGAAGCTGCTTCTCACCACACCAGCCAAGAAGTTTGAATGCACAGGTAGTGACATTCCCATCTGTTCTCACTATGGCTTTTCCCATGAATTTTGCTTCAGGGCTCATACACAATGAAGGAGGTTGATATGTTAATCTGTGCATGAAAATGCTGTATTTCAGTATAAAAAAACGTAGCAGTGATCACTACGGCTCCTTCACACTTAGACTCAACGGGGGGGGGGGGGGAATTAACAAAGCTTCCTTCATCATTATAATGGTGCGGGAAACTGGTGGAGTGGCGCGCGCCACGTTATAAAAGCAGATTTCAGAGTGAAAAAGAAACTGGCACCAATTCCGTAACTAAATTAACGAAGAGATGACTGTGGTCTTCAACGCAGGAAGATGACGTAGATCCCCGCCATATTGGACCTGGGGTATGGGATGGGAAGTGTATGCCGGTGTCCTGGCACACAGCGCACATGCCTCTCTTGACCTGTGCAGGGAGCAAATCACATGGGCAGAGACTGCATGAAGGCAGATAAAGCTGCTTTCTTGCTTATATGCACAGCAAATGCAGGGTTAAAGGGATACTTAAGTCTTGTTTTTTTGTTTATTAAATAACAAACATCTCATACTTACCTGCTCTGTGCAATGGCTTTGCACAGAGCAGCCTGGATCCTCCTCTTCTTGGGTCTTCCATTGTGGCTCTTGGCCCCTCCCTCCTTTCGAGTGCCCCCAGAGTAGTTTGCTGTGGGGACACCCAAGCAGCCCCGCCCCCTCCCTTTCCTGATTGCCTCACCAGCTGTGATTGATGGCAGTATGAACCAATGGCTCTCGCTGCTGCTTCAGCTAAGAACCAAGGCTCTCGTGGACATCACTGGGTCGGGTTGGGGCTCAGGTTAAGTGTTAGGGGGAGCTGGGGAGGCTGCTACACTCAGAAGGTTTTTTGCCCTCATGCATAGAATGCATGAAGGTAAAAAAACCTGGAGCCTTTAGAACCACTTTAACAGCCTTTTTTCTCACTCTCAGCTGAGCAAGGGGGAGGGGTGGGGTGGGTAGAGAAAGCTGGAAAAAGCAGCTCCAGCTCTCCTGCTGTGCCATGTTGGGTGCAGATATGGCATAGAAAACACAGCAGAAAGGTCTTCATGGGAGGAGGGGCTTTCTCAGCTAAGCACACCCTCCTGGCTGCATGCCTGAGCTATGCGCGGATGGATCCCAGGAAGTAAATGCCACATGAATCATCTGCCCTTGTAGTCTCAAGGCACTTTTTGAATAGCACTTATTTATTTACAAGAACTTCACTGCACGTGTGTTGTTTGTTTTTTTATGTTGTGCAGAGACAGATGTCGGGGAGAGGTTCTGTCTCTTCCCATCTGGAAGGATCTCTGATTGGGAGAGCTCCTCACCTAGTACTTGCAGAACCAGCTTTGGCTTGTCCCTCAGAAGTCGAGTCTACCTGGCTAAGGCCTAGGTAGACAATAGCATTCCTCAGGCAGGAGCCCTGATGTCGGGGGGGGGAGATTCTGTCTCTTTCCATCTGGAGGGGTCTCTCATTGGGAGAGGTCCTCACCAAGTACTTGCAGAACCAGCTTTGGCCTGTCCCTCAGGAGTCGAGTCTACCTGGCTTCGGCCTAGGTAGACAATAGCATTCCTCAGGCAGGAGCCCTGATGTCGGGGGGGAGATTCTGTCTCTTTCCATCTGGAGGGGTCTCTCATTGGGAGAGGTCCTCACCAAGTACTTGCAGAACCAGCTTTGGCCTGTCCCTCAGGAGTCGAGTCTACCTGGCTTCGGCCTAGGTAGACAATGGCGTTCCTCTGTCAGGAGCCCTGATGTGGGGGGGGGATGTTTTGTCTCTTCTCATCTGGAGGGGTCTCTGATCGGGAGAGCTCCTCACCAAGTACTTGCAGAACCAGCTTTGGCCTGTCCCTCAGGAGTCGAGTCTACCTGGCTTCGGCCTAGGTAGACAATGGCGTTCCTCTGTCAGGAGCCCTGATGTCCCCCTTACGTCGAAGTTCCCTCTACATCAGAGTCCCCATCAAAGTCCCCATAACATCGGAGTTCCCCTTACATTAGGGTCCTCATTAAAGCCCCCCTAATATTGGAGTTCCCCCTACATCAGGATCAACATCAAAGTCCCCCTTACACGGGAATTCCCCCTACATCAGGGTCCCCATCAAAGCCCCCCTAACATCAGAGTTCCCCCTACATTAGTGTCCCTATCAAAGTTACACTTACATCTGAGTTCCCCCTGCATGAGGGCCCCCATCAAAGTCCCCCTTTCATCAGAATTCCCCCTACATCAGGGTCCCCATCTACGTCCTCCCTCCCCCCTTACATCAGAGTTCTGCTTACATCAGAGTCACCCCTTACATAATAAAAGTATACTGTACCTGGAATCTCCACCTTCCTTTATTAGATCCGCCCCTACCATTGTAAGAGGAAGAGGCGTGCTTTCCAATGTTAAAAGTAGACAGTTTATAATTGTGATCAATGTGATTGGTCATCAAAGAGATGTCAAGGTACAGAGCTGCTTGGATCAGCTCTGTACACTGTGTCTGTGAACCAAACTGTCCGAGAAAGGCCCAGTTCACAGCTATTACTGGGGGCAAGAAAAATGCAAAGGCTGACTGCCCCCCCCCCCCCCCTCCACAAGCTTCCATTATGAAGCGTCCATCTCCTTCCTAGCTGTTGTCAGGTTGGCTGTGGTGGGAGGGGAGTGGGTGGCAGTTCGGACCTTATAGCTAGGAATAGGGAGCACCTAGAAACATGGGACAAACTACTACATGTCCAGTAGGGGGCAGAATAGTAAAAAAAAAAACTAAATATAATGAAACCCGAAGGGCAGTGTGGCCTGAAGCGGCATGAAGTAAGGCGCTCACAAACAGAGCTCCATTCACGGTCCTGCAGGTGTTTTTGCCTCATTTGCTCAGCCTGCCATTCTCAAGGAATCTCCTCCACCTGTCCACTATGTCTCCAAGCCGTCTCTCAGCTTGACAAATTCTAGTGGCAAGACAAGGAAAAAAATGATGGCAGACCGCCCTCACCTGATCTGGAGCAGCCGACTGCCAACACGAGTAAGGTACTTGATGCCATCTCCTCTTGTCAAGCTGCGCTCACTTCCAAGATAGAAGAGGTGAAGATGGACATTCCACTTATCTGCCAGGACCTCCATAAGCTCCAGGACAGGGTCACTGAATCTGAGCCCCAGCCAGGGCTGGACCTAACCAGTCCGGTGTGGGGTTGCAGTAAAAACTGTCAGTGAGGCAAAGGATGGGTGGTCAGCAGGACAGAGGACAGGGTCACTGCTGGCAGAGCATAGGACAGGGATCACTGCTGGCAGGGCAGAGGATAGGAGTCACTGCTAGCAGGGCAGAGGACAGGGGTCACTGCTGGCAGGGCAGAGGACAGGGGTCACTGCTGGCAGGGCAGAGGACAGGGGTCACTGCTGGCAGGGCAGAGGACAGGGGTCACTGCTGGCAGGGCAGAGGACAGGGGTCACTGCTGGCAGGGCAGAGGACAGGGGTCACTGCTGGCAGGGCAGAGGACAGGGGTCACAGCTTGTAGGGCAGAGGACAGGGGTCACTGCTTGCAGGGCAGAGGACAGGGGTCACTGCTTGCAGAGCAGAGGACAGGAGTTGCTACTGGCAGGGCAGAGGACAGGGGTTGCTACTGGCAGGGTAGAGGACAGGGGTCGCTGCTGGCAGGGCAGAGGACAAGGGTCACTGCTGGCAGGGCAGAGGACAGGGGTCGCTACTGGCAGGGCAGAGGACAGGGGTCGCTGCTGGCAGGGCAGAGGACAGGAGTCTCTGCTGGCAGGGCAGAGGACAGGAGTCTCTGCTGGCAGGGCAGAGGACAGGAGTCTCTGCTGGCAGGGCAGAGGACAGGAGTCTCTGCTGGCAGGGCAGAGGACAGGAGTCTCTGCTGGCAGGGCAGAGGACAGGAGTCTCTGCTGGCAGGGCAGAGGACAGGAGTCTCTGCTGGCAGGGCAGAGGACAGGAGTCTCTGCTGGCAGGGCAGAGGACAGGAGTCTCTGCTGGCAGGGCAGAGGACAGGAGTCTCTGCTGGCAGGGCAGAGGACAGGAGTCTCCGCTGGCAGGGCAGAGGACAGGAGCCTCCGCTGGCAGGGCAGAGGATAGGGGTCACTGCTGGCAGGGCAGAGGACAGGGGAACAGCTCATTCTTTCATCCCTGCACTGCACACAGCCTGGGCACAGGCAGCAGAGCTCCTCCTCTCCACACAATGCACAATGAGATCAGTATAGTGTCCGTCAAGAGCAGTATAATGTCAAACTAGGGTGGTAAAGTATCAGATTAGGGTGGTATTGTGTCAATTTAGGGCAACATTGTGGCAGGTTAGGGTTGGCTTTGGGGTGGGGGGGAACAACTAAAACCTGGGGGGACATAGCCCACCCCACTAACCCACTAGATCTGGCCATGGACTCAGCTGAGCCAGGTGCAGGATGCTCTACCCCTGCTATTGGACTCGTCTTTGCGGATGCAACAGCAGCTTCCCCAGCTGCCTGAAGAACAGATCATGGTGCAGCAATCATAGATTCATCAGTCTCCAAACGGGTGTGAAGGACTTTGACCTGGCTTGTTTTCTAGCAAACCTGCTTATGGCAGGACTGCCTTCTCCACCTCATTTGTGGTGGCCCACCATGTGGTGGCTCAACAACCACCTCCGGGGTGTACCGTCTCACACTTTTATCACAAAACTTCTCAAGTACAGGGACCGAAACTCGATCCTCCACCTATCCAGGGAAAAGGGCAATAACGAGGTGAAGACAGCCTTATTCCGAGATTTCTTGGCAGAGATCCCACTTTATGGATGCCAAATGACATCTACGACTATGACAAACAAATATGCTGTACCCTGCTTGTCCATGGGTAGTAGGTGAGCACGAGTCATCATCTTTGATGGCCCCAAGGCTGCAACCACCTGACTGGAGCAGAGGGCAACTAACAGTACCTACCGGCCATACGTCTTACCGTTGGTACCCTTCTAATGCAGAACATGGGTCTGCTGGCCTTTTCTGCCTCATCCAAGAGAGTATCCTCCATCTT